GAACAACAACTACCAGACTTTTAGAAGACATCTGAAGGCAGCCCTGTTTAGGGAAGCTTTTAATGTTTGATGTATCACAGTATTTTAATATTCTGTTGGAAGCTGCCCAGAGTGGCTGGGGAAGCCCAGCCAGATGGGCGGGGTATAAATAAATTATTATTATTATTATTATTATTATTATTATTATTATTATTATTATTATTATTATTCAATGAAAATAGGGACGTCCTTTTCAATAATAATGATAATAATAATGATAATATCTGCCCATCTGACTAGGTTGTCCATCCACTCCCAGCATATACAGTATAAAAACATAATAAGGCATTCAACATTTAAAAAAGCAACACCCCTTCCCTTTACAGGGCTGCCTTCAGACGTCTTCTAAAGGTTGCATTGTTGTACGGTGGTACTTCGGATTAAGAACTTAATTCATTCTGGAGGTCCGTTCTTAACCTGAAACTGTTCTTAACCTGAGGTACCACTTTAGCTAATGGGGCCTCCCGCTGCTGCCACATGATTTCTGTTCTCATCCTGAAGCACAGTTCTTAACCCAAGGTACTATTTCTGGGTTAGCAGAATCTGTAACCTGAAGTGTATGTAACCCGAGGTACCACTGTATAGGTAAAGGGACCCCTGACCATTAGGTCCAGTTGTGGACGACTCTGGGGTTGCGTGCTCATCTCGTTCAATAGGCCAAGGGAGCCAGCGTTTGTCCGCAGACAGCTTCCATGTCATGTGGTCAGCATGACTAAGCCGCTTCTGGCGAACCAGAGCAGCACACAGAAACACTGTTTACCTTCCCGCCAGAGCGGTACCTATTTATCTATTTGCACCTTGACGTGCTTTTGAAACTGCTAGGTTGGCTCGGATATGGATGCAGAGTCTTTCTGCCTCCTAATCTGAGCTGCTGCCGGTGGAAAAGGGTTCATTGCTGGCTGCACAGAGGAGGGAGAAGAGGAGCTGCTTCTGGCCGCCACAGCACAGACATGCAACATCACACACACACTCCTGCAAGTTGTGCACGTGACAGCACACGCACGCATGTGATGTCACACGTCCACATGGCAGCAGCAGGCACCCATAATCCTGAGGGCGATAGGACACCCCTGGTTATGAGAGAGGGAATTGGCACATCTTGCTCCAAGCAGCCTTTTGCACTGACTGGCTGCGCCTCTCCAGGCCGTCAGGCAGGGAACTCTCCCAGCCCTACCTGGAGACCCTGGAGCATGGGTAGGCAACCTAAGGCCCGGGGGCTGGATCCGGCCCAATCACCTTCTAAATCCAGGGAATCAGCATCTTTGGGTTATTTGTGGGACCTGCCTGGTGTTTTTACAGGAATTATTATTATTATTATTATTATTATTATTATTATTATTATTATTTATACCCCACCCTCCCCAGCCAAGGCTGGGCTCAGAACGGCTAACAAGCAATAATAAAAACAAGTTGAATGAATACAACTTAAAAACAAAATTAAAATACAACATTAAAATATTGAAACATTAAAATATTAAAATGTAGCCTCATGGCAGGAGGAGAAAGAAAAAAGAAAGAGGGGGGGGGGAATCAAATGGGCTCCAAACCAAAGGCCAGGTGGAACAACTCTGTCTTACAGGCCCTGCGGAAAGAAATCAGATCCCGCAGGGCCCTGGTCTCATGAGGCAGAGTGTTCCACCAGGCTGGAGCCAATGTTGAAAAGGCCCTGGCTCTGGTTGAGGCTAATCTGACTTCCTTAGGGCCCGGGACCTCTAGGGTGTTGCTATTTATGGACCTTGAGGCTCTCCGTGGGGTAGAGTAGAATGTGTGCTTTTATTTAAAATGCATCTATGGGTTATTTGTGGGGCATAGGAATTCGTTCACCCCCCCCCCAATATAGTCCGGCCCCCCAAAAAGTCTGAGGTGTGGTGGACTGGCCAACAGCTGGAAAAGGTTGCTGACCCCTGCCCTGGAGACAGAACAGTGAACCTTCTGCATGGAATGCTGTGATTCTGTTGTGGGATCTTACTCTCCTGCACAGGAGCCCATCTGAAGTTGGGGACTGAGCCAAGGACCTCGTGCATGCAGCATTGTTGCTGGACGATTGAGCTACAACCGCCCCCCTAGTAAAGTGCCTCATACACTGAACGCACTTGAGAAGGATGGTGAGATCCTGCAAACAGCGGATCTCAGATTCCTGGCATGCTCCGCTCTGACTCCAACCACATCTACAAAACCACCGCTCTGCCCCTGGGCAGGGTGTGACAAGACAAGAGAAATGCTTCTCGTGTGGACAGTGAGATCTTCCAGAATCCAATTGCCTTCCTCTGAGCATAATGATTGCCAGTAATCAGGTAGGATTATATGTCAGTTCAAGGTGCTGACTGAAATTCAGTGGAAGCTATTGCTATTTCAAGCAAGCAGGAAAAACAAGATCATTATTCACTTAAGCAGATCATCATTCACTCACTTTGCATTGCGGACCTTATTGGATTTTAATAATAGTTCGGGTCAGAATCAATCTTCTCATCCAGGTGGAACGTCACCAGGTATCTCCTAAGGACTGAAGTGTTCAAAGGCCAAGAGGAAAAGCAAAAGGCTTTAGGAGTGAAGGACTGCGTGTTGTTGAGGAAAAGCAATTTGCAGGGCTTTTTTGTTACCGTTTTCCAGGTGTACTTTCAGTGACGGCATCAGGAAGGGACTGAGCTGTGTTGATATAGAGGGAATCATAGACTCCTAGAAAGGTGGAGAAGGGATCCTGAGGGTCACCCATCGGATGTGGAATTCCAAACCCATTCCCTCAACAGATGGGTGCATTCTAACCCATGGAATCATATAACTGTAGAGTTGAAAGGGACCCCAACTCTAGGGACAAGACAGAAGTACGGTTTTGGGGGGACAGGAGACGGGCGGGCAGGTGTGGAGGACTCCCTGGTCCTGGGTGGGGTAACTGTGCCCCTGAAGGACCAAGTGCGCAGCCTGGGAGTCATTCTGGACTCCCAGCTGTCCATGGAGGCGCAGGTCAATTCTGTGTCCAGGGCAGCTGTCTACCAGCTCCATCTTCTACACAGGCTGAGACCCTCCCTGCCCGCAGACTGTCTCACCAGAGTGATGCATGCTCTGGTTATCTCCTGCTTGGACTATTGCAATGCGCTCTACGTGGGGCTACCTTTGAAGGTGACCCAGAAACTACAACTAATCCAGAATGCGGCAGCTAGACTGGTGACTGGGAGCAGCCGCCAAGACCACATAGCACCGGTCTTGAAAGACTTACATTCGTTCCCAGTACATTTCTGAGCACAATTCCAAGTGTTGGTGCTGACCTTTAAAGCCCTAAATGGCCTCGTCCCAGTATACCTAAAGGAGCATCTCCACCCCCATTGTTCTGCCTGGACTCTGAGGTCCAGTGCCTAGGGCCTTCTGGTGGTTCCCTCATTGTGAGAAGTGAGATTACAGGGAACCAGGCAGAAGGCCTTCTTGGTGGTGGTACCCACCCTGTGGAACGCCCTCCCACCAGATGTCAAAGAGAAAAACAACTACCAGACTTCTAGAAGACATCTGAAGGCAGCCCTGTTTAGGGAAGCTTTTAATTTTTAATAGGTTATTGTATTTTAGTGTTCTGTTGGACGCTGCCCAGAGTGGCTGAGGAAACCCAGCCAGATGGGCGGGGTATAAATAATAAATTATTATTATTATTATTATTATTATTATTATTATTATTATTATTATTATTATGATGTCCAACCCGTTGCAATACAGGAATCCCCACTAAAGATCCCTGACAGATTGCCACCCACCCACCCCATGCCCCCATTGGCTGCACCCTGACTGCATGACTCTTTCACTCTGCCAAATGATGACGCCATCTTTGAATTGCTGGCACTGTCAACTTGTTACCCGTGGAAGCGAGTTATGTGGAACCAGGTGCCTATGCATGTCTTGTTTAAAGGGATAAAATAAACAAAATATGCCCTTTTCCTCCCTCTCTCTTGCTCCAGCTTGAGGACAGGGAGAATTGCCTACTTCCTGATTGCTTTGTGATGATGACTGTATGGGGTGAAGCCAACTCAGAGGGAGGGTGAGGCTTCATGCCCTCACTCTTAAGCCTGGTGTTTGGTGGTGGGGATAACACTTGGCAGCTATCATGAGCCGGTGCGTCACAGCTGCCTGGGTGTGGTGGCCTGGGACTCAGGCTTGGACTCGGAACCAGAGGAGTCTCAGTCCGGACTGGATCCTCTGCCTCAGGCGGCACCTGAACCAAGTCTGGGGCCTGATCCTGAAGAGTCCCATTCTGCACAGGTTCCCCTGCAACAAAGACCATCTGGGCCGAGTCAGGGGCCTGAGCCTGCCCTGGCTCCAGATGCAGGGATTACCCAGTTGCCTTCAGCTGGGCCATCACTTACAGCTGCTCCACTACCGGTTGGGTGAGGGGAGGCTGAGGTGGCCTCTGGATCTAGTAACCCACCGACGTCTCCCGAGCTGCAGAGACTGAGAGAACGAGAGACCTGAGTACTTGCAGGAGGAGTGCTCGCCTTCAGGCGAGACAGGGAGGTGAGTCACTGGGGGATCAGGACCGGCTGTTACCCCACCAGAGAGAAAAGGCTGTTGGACCACCACCACCCCAGGTTGCGGGAGCAATATTGCTGTTTGCTAGGACCTCCCTGTGCCTGACCTAGCCTGGTTTCCTGCCTTGTGACCTGCCTTGTTGGACTGACTCCTCGCGGAACCCTTGGATTCGGGACGGGACCAGGACTACGTTGCTGAGGTTAGCCCCCAGGCCCAGCACACTGGGCTACGGAGAAGTCATGATGGTAAAAAGGCCCTGCAAGGTGGGAGGAGGCCCTGCAAGACCCCCACCTCCCCAGCAAGAGCCCCTCGCTTTCAAATGAAAAGTTCTCTGGGCTCACCTCTCATTTGGCAAATGTTCATAATGGAGCCATCATTTTGGGGGGGGGGAAAATGTCAGCTTGGTACAAATGCAAAGGAAAGACCTCCTCCGTCATCCCTATACTCTTTCTCTCCTTGGGGAAGAGGTGGGATGTGGAAGAGCAAATGATGGGATGATTCAGTCATTGAATCATGAAATTGTAGAATTGGAAGGAACCCAAATCTGGTCCAACCCCAGGACCAATGCAGGAATCCCAGCCATCGCAGTCAGACAAACAAGACGGTGTATTGGTTTCGTCATCTTTTTTTTATTTTGTGTTTCCTTCCTTGTCCCTGGGAGGATTACTCTTTTGATCTTCAAGACTTCATTCTCGACCTCCATGTTCTCCATCCCTAGAGTCTGTGCACCTCTGGTGCTCTCCATCTCCTCGAGGTGCCAGCAGCCCTTGCCCATCAAGGGTTGGTGGATCTATCAACTACCCGCGACCCGCGGGACTTGGTTGTTCGTCTCTGCTGATGGGATCATCATCCATGCCTTCTGCTCCATATCCTTGTGTGTTGTCGTGGCTTGACTCTGGAAATCCCACGGGGCCATCTCTCCCCAATCCTTGCGTTTTATTGTGGCTTGGCTCTGGAAATCCCACAGGGCCTTCTCTTCCCAATCCTTGCATGTTATGGTGGCTTGGCTCTGGAAATCCCACAGGGCCATCTCTTCCCAAACCTTGCGTTTTATTGTGGCTTGGCTCTGGAAATCCCACAGGGCCTTCTCTTCCAAACCCTTGCATGTTATGGTGGCTTGGCTCTGGAAATCCCACAGGGCCATCTCTTCCAAACCCTTGCATGTTATGGTGGCTTGGCTCTGGAAATCCCACAGGGCCATCTCTTCCAAACCCTTGCATGTTATGGTGGCTTGGCTCTGGAAATCCCACAGGGCCTTCTCTTCCCAATCCTTGCATGTTATGGTGGCTTGGCTCTGGAAATCCCACAGGGCCATCTCTTCCCAATCCTTGCATTTTATTGTGGCTTGGCTCTGGAAATCCCACAGGGCCTTCTCTTCCAAACCCTTGCATGTTATGGTGGCTTGGCTCTGGAAATCCCACAGGGCCTTCTCTTCCAAACCCTTGCATGTTATGGTGGCTTGGCTCTGGAAATCCCACTGGGCCTTCTCCAGGTGCTTGTTGCTGGCTAACACCTTCCGATGACAGTTCCACATCCTCTACAAGGACTTGATCGATGTGCTCCTCCTCTGTCTGCTGACTGTGAGATTCCAGCAACTGGCCTGTTTTCAGGTTCACCCAACTCCCTTTCTCCACGGAGACAGCGGTGTACAATGCAGTTTCGTCCCCCACGTCTGGAGACTCTACGCTCAAGAGCATAGCCTCGCTAAGGCGACGGCTCAGGAGCTTCTCAACATCATCTGCACACTGAGATTCCCCCCCTGTAGGCTTCACTATGATAAGGCTGGCATCTCGGTCGGAATCTTGATGACTGCCACGGTGGCTTTCCTGACCTGACGGGGCTTCTTCTCTTTCAGATTCCTCCTGATCACTCCTGGCTCCATCCGACCCACTTCCAGGAGCCCCAAAGGCTCTTCCTGAGTTGCCTCCCTTTCCCAGGAGAGATGTCCTGCTGATGGTTGGGACAGCTGTCTTACCTGTTTGCTGAAAGTGACTCACCACTAATTTCCCAGTTCTCCTGTTCATCCAGATTCCATCTTCCAGAGAAATGATGCTGTAGATCTGGTCATCTTCCCCTTCCATATAGTATGAGTATGGCATGCCGTTCTCCATATACGACTTGGGTTCAGAATCATCTGGCCACTGGAGAGAGCTTCTGACAAGCTTGCTGTTTGGGGGGTCCTTTACAGTGTGGAGCAGCAGTGGTCCCTTACCATCTTCATGAGAGCTTTGCCGGCTACCTTCCTTCACCACCTCTGCAGGGCCAGCTTCCTTCACCACATCTGCACGGCCACCTTCCTTCACCACCTCTGCAGGGCCAGCTTCCTTCACCACATCTGGACGGCCACCATCCTTCACCACCTCTGCAGGGCCAGCTTCCTTCACCACATCTGCACGGCCACCATCCTTCACCACCTCTGCAGGGCCAGCTTCCTTCACCACATCTGCACGGCCACCATCCTTCACCACCTCTGCAGGGCCAGCTTCCTTCACCACATCTGGACGGCCACCATCCTTCACCACCTCTGCAGGGCCAGCTTCCTTCACCACATCTGCACGGCCACCATCCTTCACCACATCTGCACGACTACCTTCCTTCACCATCTCTGCACGGCTACCTTCCTTCACCCCCTCTGCACGGCCACCTTCCTTCACCACATCTTCACGGCCACCATCCTTCATCACCTCTGCACGGCTACCTTCCTTCACCATCTCTGCACGGCTACCTTCCTCTGCACGGCCAACTTCCTTCATTACCTCTGCACGGCTACCTTCCCTCACCGCCTCTGCACGGTTACCTTCCTTCACCATTTCTGCACCACATGGCTCATTCTGCGGTGACAATGAATATGAACCATGGAGCAGGAAGCCTCTGGGATCTTCATTTCTGCGCATAGTGCTGGCGACCCCAGTCCTGGGCTGTTCCTGCTGATCCCTGGCAGCAGGCATGGATTCCCTGCTCGCTTTCTTCATTTTCCTCTCTGCATAGCTCTGGAGGAAACTCTCGTCGGTCTGTTGGCTGGTGCACTTCTTGACCTTCTGCCTTTTGGCTGCACAGTACTGAAGCCAACTCTTGTCCGTCTGCTGGCTCCTGTTCTTCACAACTTTGCCCGTCCTTTTGCTGATCCAGGTGCCTTGCTCAAGAGGAGGTTCTTGGGTGGCTTCAGTCACCCTGCTTTGAAGACCAGCTGGCATATTAGACTCCTTCCCAACACCAACGTCCTTCCCAAAGCCCTGGTGTGGCAGTGAGTGACCCCTCTGGAAATCCACTGCTGTTGGTATGCTCGGCTGTGACTCTTCCCACACAAGCTCTTGATTGGCAGGCTGGGGTATTTGGGCATCTTCTCGCAAGCTGCTACGGTGAGAAACAACTTGGGCTCCAACCAAGGCATCCCTCTGTTGACTGTGGGGCAACAATTCTTCCTTTAGACTCTCACAGCTGTCTGTCTGTTGGGCCTGCTCAGACATAAAGGTGTCCATTTTAGCGTTCCTGTACGGCGTTGGCTTTTGCTCCTCCAGTTTCTGGGTATCCTGCCTGGATTTTACGGCTTCTGGAACTAGGCTGCCTCGGCGAGATTCTTGACCCATGGGCGGCCTGCTCTCTGGTCGTTGGACAGTGCGCTGTGACCCTCGTCTGCCTCGCTGTTCAGTCTCGGTCTCAGAAGACAACTCGGTTGTATCCGTTTCTAAGGCATTGGGGAAAGATTCCTGGCTGGAAGTATGCAGGATTTCCGAGAGAGTTTTCAGTTCCCAAACAACACTTGTCTGTTGAGCTTTGCATTTCATTTCCTTGCCAGTCTTTGGGCTGATCCAGGATATGTCCTCGTCGAGGCAAATCCCCTTTGGGAGCAGTAGAGGTATCTCCATGGACCGCTGGCTGTTCCTGCGAGAGTCCCTCTTTAGGCTGTTGCGCTTTGACCCCTTCCCCTCCAGCTGCTGGCTGCTGTGGCACCCTTTGCTCCCCAAAGACTCTTGCAGTGATACTTCCTCCGAATACATCATCTCCGACTCGTCTACTGTATTCAGGGTTTCCATTGATCCCTCTCTGCTTCTGTCGGATTCGTCGCTGGAATTACTGAAGATATCGGAAAAGCTCTTCTGCTCCCATATGAGGCTCGTTTGCTGGGTTCGACACTTCATCAGCTTCCCGGTCCTTTTGCTCACCCACGTGATTTCTTTCGCATCCGACTCACTGATGGACTGTGTTCGGGAAGGGTTCAGGCTCAGCGGGGACTGCACACCAACAGATTGCTGGCTGCTCCGGCGGGACTCCTGACCAGGAAGTCGTGGGATGCTGCGGCGGGATGGCTTCCGTAGACTCGACGCGCTGCTCTTGATGCTCCCGGACACATCTGGTGCCTGACTTTGGTCTTTCCTTCTGAAAATGCCCCCTTTGTTCTCTGTCTGCAGGGCTTGGTCTGGCACATCTTTGCCCAAAAGGGGTTTCTTGGTGGGTTCTTGATCCATGAAGGGGCCATTGTCCCCACCTTCCTGGTGGATGTTCACCTCGTCCTCAAGGGTGCATTTCTGCAACTCGGCGACGCTGAACGATTGCTCGCTCACTTCGCAGCTGCCCAGGACCGCTTCGTCGAGACTGGGCTCTGGGTCGTCATCCATCCTGCTTCTCTGCTATGACACCTCGGTGGCGCAGCTTAAGGCACAGTTCCTCTGTCAGTTGGGTAGGCCTGGACCACTGGCAAACGTCTCCCAGCCCTCTCGCTTGGTGCTTTTCGTGGGGGCTAAACTCACCGCTCTTGAAACAGATGGAAAGTCCCTTTCCCCCTCGCATAGGATTTCACTTCAAGGTCTCTCCTCCTCCTTTTCCTTTTTCTCATCGGGGCTGCAGGTGGCACGTAGGTTGTGTCATTGTCCAGAGGCGAAGATGTTGGGTGGTGGTTGCTGTTGTTTCCTTTCTACTGGCAGCCAGCTGGAATCATGGCCCTTGAGTCATCACAGTAGCCCTCGGCACTCTGGACTTGCCCTTCCCCTGCGGTGGTCTCCTTGCTCTTCCTTCAACTGCCGTGCATTCTAGAAGCTTCCAAAGACTGTGCATCTGTGACATCACTGTGTATTCTGAAACACGGGGGGGAGGTTGAATTTGCCATGCCCCAGCTCTCCTGGGAAGAAGGTTCGCAATGGTTTTAGGGACCCAGAAAGGAAGCTGTATAACCTGGCTCCACCCCAAGCACTCCATTCTTCCCTCTGCAATTCCCTCCCTCTGTACACAGCCTTGGCTTTGCTAGTTGCCTGCTTGGGAGCTGAGTGGGAATTTTTAGGGGCCTACCTGGTTTCCCCCTCCTCACCCAATCCCCACATAGGCAAGTGACTTTTCTTTCAAAAACGAGCCGTGGTGTTGTGAGTTGTGGGGGGAAGTGTGGATGATGCCCTGAGTGCCTTCCAATTCTTGGGGTTCTGTATCCAGTGAGGGTTAGAATAGGGCTGCCATACACCTGGAATTTCCTGCACACAGCCAGAATACGGCCATCAGAAGCAGAATATGGCAGTCGGAATTCACCGAAAATCCAGACATGTGGCAACCCAAGTTGGAAATCTAGATTTTGCAACTTTCTTTTTAAAATGGCTCACAAATTTTGGGCAAAGTTCAACAACTTTGTCCAGAGAGGAAGTTGCTGAGCAACTGAGACAAGCTTCTTGTTAAGACAATGACCTTAGCTGGCTCCTTAAGTATCCTCATCTGCATCCTAGAAGAGCTAGACTGCAAGAGCTGCAACTAAGTGATGATGGCCTCCAGGGGAATGGGTGGACCTTTTCTCCTCCAACATCCCCTCACCTAGCTGCGAGTGAGAAGAAGAAGAAGAAGAAGAAGAAGAAGAAGAAGAAGAAGAAGAAGAAGAAGAAGAAGAAGAAGAAGAGAGAGGAGGAGGAGGAGGAGGAGGAGGAGGAGGAGGAGGAGGAGGAGGAGGAGCCAGAGAGGTGTGTGGTGTGTGTATGAGCTGGACTGGGAGAAGGCTGGAAGCTGGAGACACAGAGACCTGCTTGATCTGTTCTGGATCCAAAGCTGTGACTAATAGAGATCAGGAGACTCTGGAGAGTCCCATGGGCTGCAAGAAGATCCAACCTATCCATTCTGAAGGAAACCAGCCCTGAGTGCTCACTGGAAGGACAGATCCTGAAGCTGAGGCTCCAAGACTTTGACCACCTCATGAGAAGAGAAGACTCCTTGGAAAAGACCCTGATGCTGGGAAAGATGGAGGGCACAAGGAGAAGGGGACGACAGAGGACGAGATGGTGGGACAGTGTTCTCGAAGCTACAAACAAGAGTTTGACCAAACTGTGGGAGGCAGTGGAAGACAGGAGTGCCTGACGTGCTCTGGTCCATGGGTTCGCAAAGAGTCGGACACGACTAAACGACTAGACAACAACAACAACAACAACAACAATAGAGATCAAGGTCTGTTGGGGTGCTGATGCTGAGAGCTTCGTCTTATGATCAGTACAGGAAAGCTTTTTAATGTGCAATGTTTTATTATGTTTTTATATGTGTTGGAAGCAGCCCAGAGTGGCTGGGGCAACCCAGTCAGATGGGTGGAGTACAAATAATAAAACTGTTGTTGTTACATACCGTATTTAAGCGAATCTAATGCTTCTTCGAATCTAATGCTCACCTCAGTTTTCAATACCTTGAAACCAAATAAGTATCTGCTGGTGCCATTAAATCTAATACACACCCTAATTTTCACGACATAATTTGACCCCAAACGGTGCGTATTACACTTGAGTAAATACAGTATATGTGTAAATAAAAGAATATATCCTGAAAACATTGCAGTTTCTGCTGACCTTCATTTCAAGGAAGCCTGGAACCCCCGGATTCTCTCTCCGCTGTGAGATTGGGGTGAATGCAACAATACTGAGTCACCCTGCACCCAAGACGGCATTGTTGGGTAAAGCTGAACCCCTGACAAATAGGAGCAACCACAAAACTCGCACTCCAAACAGCATCACAAAGCAAGTTCTCAAACCCACCCAAGACTTTGTGGAGCTCTGGAAGACCTCAGGCACTTAGCACAAACAGCAGGTAGCAGTTGGGTAGCGTGTAACAATATTATTATGCTTCCAAATTCTGCAGGGGCACTGGAAGATATCCCTGTCTGTGGAGATGGGGTGTGATGGCCTGGGGTTCAGAATCCCAGCCTGCACAGGATTCCCCGCCTCCAGAACCAGCTGAGCCGGGGCTGGGGCATGGGCCTGAAGGGTCCTCACCTGTGTTGGATCCTCGGGTGCAGGCATAAGCTGAGCCTGCTCTGGCTCCTGAGGTGATGGAGGACCCATTGCCTGCAGGTGCTCCACTCTCAGCCCCATCAGAGGAAGCTGAGGTTGCCTCTGGGTCCGGTAACCCTCCAGCCTCTCCTGAGCTGCAGAGGCTCAGTGCAGAGAGGCGGAGGGAACTAAGTTCCCGCAGGAGGAGTGCTCGCCTCCAGGCCAGGAGAGGTGAGTCACTTGTGGACCGGGGCTGCCCTATGCCTCGGGGCAGATAAAAGCCAGCCAGCCCCAGTCCCAAGTTGCAGAAGCAACATTGTTGGTAGCCTATTCCTGCCTGCACCCTGTCCTACCGGAGCTCCTGACCTCACCCAACTCCCTGCCTTGGACCCAGCTTCAGCTTTGACGGACAGCTTCCATACTGCACCCTCGACCTCGGACTGGACTCGGACCTTGCCTCTCGGTTAGCCCATGGGACCAGCACATGGGGTCTTGTCTGATGTGTTCCAAGAACTGCCTTTCCTGTCTGGCAGGGACTGCGCCAGCGTACATTTCCCAACTAATGGAGTTTCTTTGTCTCTGTTGCAAAGAGCGCCAATCTCTGGAACGGTGCCTCTGGTTCCACCCCATTAGTCTCCTTTTCAACATGTTAGGGACAAAGAATGGAGCTTGTCCTCTCCCACTCGCTCGAAAGCCTCCCTGCTGAATTCCCTCCTCCCTTTCTCGGTTCAGCAGCTTCTTCTGCTTTGCCATCACCAGCACACAGCCAGCCTCCAGCTCAGTTTCCCCCATCTTGGGCCTTTGAAGCTATTTCTCGAGTGCTGAAATGCCTGCCAGGCATCTTTGCAGATGCTTGGAAAGGCAAGTCCCAAAGCGGCATTTTAGGTAAATATAGATGTCAGGAGGTCAGGAATGCCCCCGATTTCCTTCACACACACACATACTCACCCAAATAAGTATCCCAAATAAGAAATAGATGGGGAATAACTTTTTGCAAACCCTTAACAAATGTCCAACTTATCTAATATAAGCTTTGTCATTTCTAAATACCATAAACATCCATTTCTGTTTTAAGTGACATTTTAATTAACCGTTTCCAACCAAAAGCTCACTGAAATATACGCGAAGTCGAGAGTGGATTTCATGCTCTTTATTCAGCTCATAGTGGTGAGGAGGAATGAATGTTTCCCCAAAGTATCTGCTTTATATACATTATTTACACAATGGGCTGCACGTGATTGGCTCATTCCAGAATTCTCCTGTAGGCCAATCAGGTTGTGGATTCACTTCCACCTGGAGCTGGATTGGGTGGCTCCTGCAGACCAATCAGACTTCTGCATTCTGAATCCTATTGTTCTAGGACCAATCAGACTGCTGCATTTTAGATCCTATTGTTCTAGGACCAATCAGACTGCTGCATTTTGGATCCTATTCATCTCAGTACATAACACTCACCCAGACTTCCTTTTGAACTGTGTTTGTAGACTCAAGTCCACATTTTAAAGCTCCATTTCTGAGCACTTTTTGGCGCCTGTACTTTCCTCATGTTAACCTGCTTCTAGCATCTGCGGAAAACCCATATTTCCATTTGTTCTGATTCAGCACTAAAGAGCCAGTTTTCCAGCGGGAAGCGGGGGGGGGGGGCACTGAGTTTTAAAGGGTGAGAAAGGGTGCATCTGTTCTGAGTCTGAATGCAGTTGAATGTCACCCAGTGTCACAAATTCTTTATTTTTATTTTTGTTTGTAAGGAAATCTTACTCCAATTAATGCAAATCTTTCTTATTTAAAATGTTTGAGATCTACATGGTATTGTTGCTTTTTAACTGATAGGTGATCCTGTGACAACTGCAGATGAGAAAATGCCCTCCCAATTCTGATTTGCAAATATGTTACAAATCACACCAAACTAGTACAGTGGTGCCTCGCAAGACGAAAAGAATCCGTTCCGTGATTCTCTTCGTCTAGCGGTTTTTTCGTCTTGCGAAGCAACCCCATTGGCGGCTAAGCGGATTAGCGGCTATTAGCGATTTAGCGCTATTAACGGCTTAGCGGGCTTAGCGGCTAAGCTGTTAAAAGGCTATTAACAGCTCAGCCGCTTTGAAAAGGGGGGGGAAGCGGGGGGGAAATGGCGAGACTCGCAAGACGTTTTCGTCTTGCGAAGCAAGCCCATAGGGAAATTCGTCTTGCGAAGCGCCTCCACGACGGAAAACCCTTTCGTCTTGCGGGTTTTTCGTCTTGCGAGGCATTCGTCTTGCGGGGCACCACTGTATTTCAGAAACCCCAAATCCCATACGCACAACCGCACACACTCGGGGCCGGATCACGTAACCAGCTGGGTCTGCTGCAGGTGGGGAGAAAAAGGGAGCAGTGTTGTGGTAGTCAGTCCTCCTTGCCTTACAGATACAGAAAACCTCTGTGCATTTCAACAGCCTTTCTGTACAGAGTTCTATGTGCAAGAAGCATCTGTTTGTATGCAGACATAGATTTCTGGATCTAAGTGTCTAACTGGCACATCACCTAAGTGTGGAAAGCAGATAAAATCTTCTTTCTTCTTCTTTGGCGATCCCTCGTAGCTGAGTAAGATTGTCTTCCATAAACACGGTCTTAGCAATGAGTCCATAAGTGACTGTGGAGGCCAATTCTGGATCCGCACGTCCTTCCACAGTGGGGACATTAGTTTCCGGGTGGGAGTTGATCACGGTGTGGATTTGCCAAGCGTGCCTTCCTCTTAGTACATTTCTCCCTTTTGTTCTGAGTTTGAGGGTCTTCAAAGCCCGTGACACCTTTGGCAAAGGCTGTTCTCCAACTGGAGCGCTCGCAGGCCAGTGTTTCCCAATTGTTGGTGTTAATACT